CGTATGTTGGGGCATTTATTATGACATAGCAATAAATCCGGATAACCTTATTTTCTTCAATTTCTTTTTAGAATAGACAATGGGACTTAAAGTTAAAACTTAATGTTGCGAAAGGGTAAAATGCAAGTGTCAGCCAGGACTCTTTGTAAATTACCTTCCCCTCTCATCGTTCCCTCTGTTTCTGTTGTTGTATGTAGTTATATGTAATAGGAGTAGGTAGGCTTTCCTACCGCCCGGTCAACACTCCTCCCCCTTCTCTTGGACATGAGTAAAGGCTTACGACTTGTTTCTTGTTTAGGAAGGGGTTACCGGTTCTCTCTCTCTCTATCTCTCTGGCCTCTGTATTAGTGCAGCTCTGTTTCTCCCGTGATGTGTGCAGTCTGTGGCATCACCTCTTCATTCTGAGGGTACACGGCTGACAGTTCTCTGGTTGCTGTTTCCGACTGGTAGTTAGGAGCCCTAACTCTTGCGTAGCGTCTTGAGCGGCCGCTCTGATCAACAGTTGTATAATACCGGGGTGTTTGTAGTGCCATGACGCGCATGGAAAGGTGTCCCTGCATTCACCTCCGGTGGGCAACCCTGAGGCCACATTATATTATATTTAGTAATCCTAACCCAGCCACTCAAAAATCACCTAAACACCTCAACATTTCGTTCTCCAACATCCGTGGCATTAGAACAAACTTCTTCAGTATGGAATCTTTCCTCACTGCAAACTGCCCGGATATACTGGCTCTCTGTGAGACCAACCTTGTCTCGTCTATCCCCTCCTCGGATCTCTCTATCCCAGGCTACCTTCCTCTCCTCAGAAAAGACTCTATAACCCACATGCACAGCCTTGGTGTCTACGTCAAAGACCATCTCCCTCTGGCCAGAGAGTTGTCTCTCGAATCGCTAGATCAGTCGTACATGTGTCTCCGACTATCTCTTCTCAATGCGGTAAGCTATCTCTTCTTCCTTTACCGCTCTCCATCCTCTCAAGACTGTGGGATACTCGATAGCATTTCTGACAGCATAGACAAGGCTCTCTCCCTCCACCCGTTTGCTCACATATTTGTGTTTGGCGACTTTAACGCCCATCATACGAAGAATGCTACTACTGACCACGCAGGCATTCAAACGCTCAATTTTCCAGTCTCTCAATCCCTCACGCAGATAGTTAACTTCCCCACTCGTTTTGCCTCCAACCGGAAAGGTAAGGCCTCTCTTCTCGATCTGTGTTTTACCTCCATCCCCGAGTCCTGTAGCGCCCTCTTGGTAACTCTGATCATGCGGTAGTATCTGTTAACATCTCCTTCAACTCCACCCCCTGCAAAGAACTTCCTTCCACTAGAACTTCGTCCTACTATCAACGAGCTGACTGGGACGCGTTCCGTGATTTCCTCCGCGATGTCCCCTGGGATCGTGTCTTTACGCTCCCCGTCCAAGAATGTGCTTCTGAGGTCTCATCCTCTCAAGGAAGTATAGGGTCAAGTCGCGCTCCTCCCCATGGTTCTCCGCTGCTTGCTCAGCCGCCATCGCCCATAGGAACCATTTCTTTCACTTATTCCGTAGCAACATGTCGGACTGCAATAGACGTCTCTTTGCCTCCGCCCGTAACGTGTAAGCGTGTCCTCAACGATGCTAAGTCACTATTTGCTGCTCGGATGAAGGAGCGTATTGCATCTCGCAAATTTGGCTCCAAAGATTATTGGAGTCTCTGCAAGAGCGTATTGAACAATTGCAAACCCTCTATACCTCCTTTATTCAACCAGTTCGAAGTCCTGACCTTCTCTGCCGACAAGGCTGAATGCTTTCCTCAGAAATTTTCATTCAACTCGACGCTCGACTCTTCCGGTGTACCCATACCCGACTTCCCTCTTAGATCCTGAAGCCCTATTGAGTGGGTTACACATAACCCCGTCTTTGGTATTGGGCGTTATCTCCAATTTAGACCCCAACAAGGCTAGTGGTGGAGACGGGATACCAGCCATTGTCTTGAAGAAATGCGCGCCTGAACTGGCGCCTGCCCTTACTAAACTATACTACTACTGCCTCAAGGAATCTTGTTTTCCTGACTGCTGGAAGTCTTCTTCGATTGTTCCTGTCTTCAAGAACTCTGGCGACCCCTTTGACCCTTCTAACTACCGTCCTATCAGTCTCCTACCCCTCTTCGGCAAAGTCTTCGAAGCCCTAATCAATACGGAGGTGGTTAACCATCTCACATCCCATGATCTGCTCTCAGACGAGCAATATGGCTTCCGCTTTGCCCGATCTACAGCTGATGTGCTTACGGTCATCACTGAAACTGTCTACCGAGCTCTTCAAAATAACGGGGAAGCTCGTGCCGTGACCCTAGACATCTCTAAAGCGTTTCATAGGGTTTGGCATGCCAGCCTTCTTCGCAAGCTCCAGGGTTATGGCATTACGAGTCGATTGTTTGACCTAATACAATCATTCCTGTCAAACCGGGAATTGAAGGTCGTTCTCAACGGATTCTCCTCCAGTTCCTATCACACGAACGCAGGTGTTCCTCAAGGCTCCATCCTAGGCCCCACTCTATTCCTTATCTACATAAATGACCTTCCCGACGCCATAAATTCCCAAGTTGGCATCTACATGGATGACACCACAATTTATTCCTGCCTCAAAAACAAATCTAGTGTCACTGACAAAACTAACCTGGCCGTGCGTCTCGAGAAGGACCTCCAATCGGTTGTGAACTGGGGTAGGAATTGGCTGGTCAACTTTAATGCTTCAAAAACAAAACTGCTCTCTATTAATCACCACAGAGATCCTTCCCTGTCCTCCATTAGAATGTCTGACGCTCAACTTCTCGAGAGCAACTCTCTGCGGCTTCTCGGTCTCACGTTGACGGCTGACCTGAGATGGAACAAATACATTGAGTCAATTGCTTCGTCCATCGCAAGGAAAGTTGGCACCCTGTGCCGCGGCAGAAAATTTTTCTCCCCGGAATCGATCCTCCAGATCTACAAATCAACAATTCGCCCTTGCATGGAGTATTGCTGCCATATATGGTCTGGAGCCCCTTCTGTTTGCCTCGGGGTTCTTGATAGGCTCCAGAGGCGGATATGCAATATAATTGGCCCTGATCTGGCATCTCGTCTACAGTTACTTTCTCACAGACGTGCCGTCGCCTCTCTCTGTCTGTTTTACAAATACTTTCATGGCAATTGCTCCGAGGAGCTGCATTCGCTGGTTCCCAGACTTCATGAGTTCAAGCGCCCTACGAGACTGGCATCCCGCTCTCACCCTTTCACTGTCAAAACTCCTAAATGTAGCCGTCACTTCTACTCCAATAGCTTCATGTCTCGCACCTCTCGCCCGTGGAACGCCCTTCCCCATTCCAGTTTCCCTCTCCAGCTATTCAAATGTAATGTCAATCGACATCTCCAGTTGCCTTGATCTATCTACTACCCTTCTCCTCATCCTTTCTTCTATCACTCCTATATGATCTTGCTCCAAATTTTCTGTAACCCCTTGCGTCCTAGTGGCTTCTCGCCTTGCTTGGTGTGAAACGCTTAAAAAAAAATAAATATATAAAAAAAAAATTACTAGACTACCCATAAATCTGTTGGGTTACTTTTAAAAGCAATTCATGATACAAAATGATGAGGTAACAATATTATCAGTTTTATTAATTACACATTTTAATTTGTATTTAAAGACGTAAAGAGGTTTGTTTCATGGACTGCATAATTAACACATTGCTTGAAAATTTGGAATAATAGTTTTCAACAGGTGTAGTCTTTTTCAAAATAATTATATTTTTATGATTATATATATTTGTTTCTTTCTCGCATTTATTTCAAAATACATAACGGCAGCGAACCACTATGGATCTATTTAGTTATTTACCATCAAGTCACGTGACACAGCCGTTTCACCTTTTAAGTAGTTGTTTATAAAAAAAGTTCTCATGTTGTGTAGTGAATTATATAAATATATGCTGTAATATGCATATTTAAATTTGTTTAATGAATGTTTATTTTCACAATAATTGGAGTATAATATGCAAGTGTTTGTTTATATACACAGATTGATATAAGATTTGTTATAAAATAAAATAAGACATATTACGGCTGATTTGCAGGCAAATAAACTAACATACTCAAGAGCGAGATCTGGATGTGAACGGGACAAGGCCCCGTCACAAAATGACCATATTTACGCGTTTACGCATATTACCGACGCACGAGTTCCGGTCGAAAAAGAAAATATTTTAAAGTGTTTCTATTTTTCGACCAATAAAAATGCTTCCCTCCTAATTATACTCGCGTCGTTTTATGAGGCTGTCAAGCCAAAAAAAAAAAAAAAACGCAATAAAAGGGGTCACACGGAAGTACAACGGCAGTCAACAGGAGGCCAGGGAAGAGACCTGTCACGGTCAGGAAAAGCGGTCAGCAGCAGCCAGCAGCAGTAGCGCCACGCCAACCAGCGAGAACTACTATGAGAGATCAACCCAGATCTTCAGCCGGCATATGAACTATACCACAAGGTAGCTGTCCCAAATCCACACGTTCCTATTGAAATAAATCACGTAAATCTATTTCTGCTGTTGCCGTATTTCTTTCTTGCAACCATACGCTTGACTATAACACTGGTGTCAGGAGTGGGATTTGCAGTTGAAGGTTTGGAATGGGAAAGAATGCAAGGAAAAAAATATATTCTCTTTGGCGTATTTCATTTTCTCAATGGGGGATTTTGTTTTCCTTTTTTTCTTTTCTTGCCTCTACCTTTCACAAGTCACAATTTCAGAAACTAATTTTATTTTTTTAAAGATACACCCAATTAATAATGTTTTATTTTCTATTTAAAGATAGATGATAGACAATGATAGATTATATAGTTTTTTCGTATTCAATATCGCAACTCCAGCAGTAGGGAAAAAATATAATAAAAGGGATGAAGTTGCAGCATGTAACAACACATTCATAAAATGGTAAACTTTTATTCCACTGCAACTAACACTCACTCATTCACACCTTTTTCTTTTTCATTCACACCCGTGTCTTTCTGACCCCGACCCCATTCAAGAATATTCCGCGGTTGTGTTGGTCACTTGTACTGCTGGGAAAAACCTTTGCACCACTCTTTTTGCCAATTTTCTTCCGAGGTTCAACTAATTCGTTGCACATTCCGTTTGTTGCTTGGGTGGAACCTGCAGGACTCTGCCAGATGTCATCGACAGACGAATAGCAGCACCATTCTTCGGTGGTGTCATCAAAATATTCCAGAGAGTCGAGGAACCTTTTGCCACTGAAACCACCGACAGCAAAGAGTTTATTTCCGAGAGAAGCCACACTGACTCGTTCGATGCCAAGTTGAGGCCCCAGATACCAGCAGTCATTTTCGGTGTCATAAATTTCAGTGGAGCGCAGAGACTGCATGCCGTCATTGCCGCCAATTTTTCCATTGATGATGTCAGCTCCAGCACCTCTGCGAGGAGTGTTAAGAGAACTGTAAACTTCCCAAGTGTTGGTCATAGGGTCATAAACTTCAACCGAATTCAAACAATTCCAAGTGCCACTGCCACCAATGCCAAAGATTTTCCCATTATACACACAAACAGCAGCTTGAAAATGTCCAGCATTCAGGGGGAGCAATAGGTTTCCAAATATTGGTGCTGGGATCATACATTTTACATTCAGCAATGCAACGTTGACCGGCACTGCCTCCAATGCAATAAAGACAGTCCTTTAAGGCTACAACACCTGGGCAAGAACGTTCTTGAAGCATTTCACCTACAAATTGCCAATTGTTGGTTTCTGGGTCGTAACATTCAACAGAACGCAATTCTGTGTGGCCGTCAGATCCACCAACTGCATAGATTTTGCTGTTAAGTACGGCCACTGCAACACGGCCACGAGCCACTTTCATTGGTGGGATATTTGTCCACACATTGTTCTCAATATCAAAGTATTCAGCACTTCGAAGACATTCACCTCGGACATAACCACCGACAGCAAAAAGCTTTTTGTTGAGGACAGCTAATCCAAATCTCCACATCGAGTAGTACTCATATGGGAGAGCAGAGTCAACGAGACATGTCTCTCAATGGTGTTCAATCTGGATGCTGTTGGTTGATGGGGTGCTGGACGGTGATTCTGAATCAGACACAGTGCTTGTAGGACTATGGGGCTAAGATGGGCGTATATGAAGGGTGACAATGGCCAATGTTCCCTTCAACAAGGTCACGCCCATAGATGTACGCTCAGCTGTTTTGTGTGAGGCCTAAAGTGACCATTCCTTTTCATTCTGAATCAATTCACAATTACCAGAACCAAACTTTCTCAATTGATTTGGAGAGCAGCTGGTTGAGTCACACTTGGTCTTTACATGAATCAAATGCTTCTTTCTGGTGAGTTTCTTGTAATCATTTAACCACATCATCTTCATCATAACTGGAGTCATTCAGATCCCGACAGTCCTGCAAATTTTGGTCACTGTCCAAATACAAAACATTGATCTGTTCAGCCAAGGTCAGCAAAGCCCTGCTGTCTTGACTAAAGACATTCTTAGTCCAGCTGAAGACTAAATGGAAAAGATGAGAATCGTGTTTATTGCCAAGAGAAACATCATCAACACCAATAATCTCAACCAAAATTCGAGGAAGAGAAGAGATTTTGGTGCTGTTGGTGATTTCGATAATATAGTTCTGAATATATCGGTCGACAACGCTTTTCAACAGGGCAATGATTGCAATGCTCCGGACTTCAAGGCAGTTTGAAAGGGAGAGGTTAGCCATCAGGAAATCTGAGCAGGCCTTGGCTGCTGAAGCAATCCTCAATTGCATGGCTTCTGTGTACACTGTCATTACCTCAGCTCGTGGTACCTCAAGTCGTCCAGAATAAGTATAATTTAGCAGGTACTGGAAGCTTTTGTAGTCCAGATCGTTCAGTTCAAACATGTATGGCACCTGGGAGGTCTCCTGAGATGTTGTGAATAGCTTGAACAGGTAAAACTGCTCGCAGTAGTCAGAACAGCACGGTGGGCAGAGATGTCATGTTCGCCAACCACCAGTTTGACATCACAAAACTGGCCACCTTTTTGAAGTAAATTCAGAGAAGTCAGCACCTCCTTGTGATGGCAATTGTCCATAAACACCAACATTCAGCTACTCTCATCGTCTTGATCCATTGAGCCAATTCCTCCATCAAAACAGAGACTGTTGTTGATAGAGTGACCGTTTGTCAGGTTTGCGAAGTCCTTCATGTTGTTGTTGATGTGGAGAAGAACAAAAAGAGAAGGGTTTATCAATTGATTTAAAATGAAGGCGACGAAGACAATATGTGGCCCACGCAAAGAGAAGAGACCATGTGCGACCTGAAAGAAAGCACCCACTGCTTTTTACTACACACAAATGAGCAACCTTTAAGGTTGGCAAACAGCCAATATTCGTGTATTACTGGCTCAAAAGCTAACCTGGCTAAAGCATAACACGGGGCTATCGCTACCAAAGACAGGAATTGCGAATGGGCAGACGTTCTAGAATCGTTTCGTTTCGTCCATGAATGCCACGACCAACAGCGCCACCGGTGTCTCCCCGCACTACGCCATTACTGGCCGTCACCCCAACATCGGCCATGCGCTTAATTTCGGTATCAACGTCAGCTTCTAAAGCCTGGGCGATCGGGTGTTGTTTCTGGCTGCGAGACTGGCCGTTAGTTGGTATGCGGATGGGTCGGATGAATGTGCCTTTGCTGCTGTTTTCTGTGCCGATAACGTCAGCGTAGAGAAGGAGTAAGTTTGCAGTGGCCTCTAGTTCGTCTCGGTTCGGGTGGTTTCAGTGTCAAAAGGTTCCTCGACTCGTGTCTCCCCGCACTATGCCATTACTGGCCGTCACCCCAACATCGGCCTACCTACACTACACAGAAAAGAAATCGCAAGTGACGATCCTGCAAATTAATGCCCTGCTAAAGCAGGTTCACCACTACGTCACCCTGACCAACGATGAAGCTGATCACAAACTTGAGACTAACTTAAATCGCCTCACATACAAGGACCCAATACAAGCAGGCGACAAGGTTTTACTTCACCGGCCACACTCAACTGTTGCCCAATCCTCTAATCTGCCCTGGATAGGAAATTACACCATTATAAAAACGAACAATATGATGTGTCAGGTGCAAAACGATAATGGTGATACAATCTGGATTCACCGTACACATATCCGACGACTGGCTCCACGTCCAACACATCTATCTAATACAATCCCTCTGCCTCCACCATGTAACACTCACCAGGATCATTCTCCTCCACATCCCCCTGGGATACATAATTCAGCAAATAACTCCATACCAAAACAAATGCCAATAAGAAGAACGCGAGGACAACTTCCCACACGTTTCAGAGACTTTATCATGAATTAATCACCCACATATACACGAATAACACTCACTGTAAATCAGACGGAGAGCTGGGGGAGCCTTGTTATAAAATAAAATAAGACATATCTCGGCTGATTTGCAGCCAAATAAACTAACATACTCAAGATACGAGAGCTGGATGTGAACGGGACAAGGCCCCGTCACAAAATGACCATATTTATGCGTTTACGCATATTCCCGACGCCCGAGTTCCGGTCGAAAAATAAAATAATATTTTAAAATGTTTCTATTTTTCGACCAATAAAAATGCTTCCCTCCTAATTATACTCGCGTCGTTTTACGAGCCTGTGAAGTCATAAAAAACGCCATAAAAGGGGTCACACGGAAGTACAACGGCAGTCAACAGGAGGCCAGGGAAGAGACCTGTCACGGTCAGGAAATGCGGTCAGCAGCAGCCAGCAGCAATAGCGCCACGCTAACCAGCGAGAACTACTATGAGAGATCAACCCAGATCTTCAGCCGACCTATGAACTATACCACAAGGTAGCTGTCCCAAATCCACACGTTGCTATTGAAATAAATCACGTAAATCTATTTCTGCTGTTGTCGCATTTCTTTCTTGCAACCATGAGATTGTCTGTAACAATTGTTTATCGAAAACAAATACTGTATTTCCTATTAAAAATGCCGTAAAAAACAAAAACGGTTCTAGTTCAAGAAGCCCTTATTCAATATTATTAATATTAATGAAATTTGACACTGTACTCGGCGACACACATACACACACATGCAAGATTAGAGTTTTAGAGACTATTATACGAGACTACCCGTGACCCGTTGGTTCACTGACGGTTCAGCTTATAAAACATTGAATTTAATTTCAACGTTAAAAAAATTGTCTGTTTGAAGAAAGTTGAAATAAAAATATTTGCTGTATAAGCAAAACCCGTATTTTTAAATCTTATTCGCTTGAAATATTTTAAAATTATATTCACTAGAAAATATTTTTTGAATATGGCAAAAAATATTTTTTACATATTTAAAATATTGTTTATTTAAAGTATTGAGCATACGACGTAAGTTTTAAAACAAATTTAAAAAAATGGAAAAGCTTTCCTGAAGCTTTAAATTAGCTTTAAATGAAAGCTAAAGCAAATTTATACTATTTTGTAAACATAATGCTTTGGTGTATTTCAGACAGAAATTATATTGATTGAAATAGACTTAGCCTTTTTTTCAGTAAAATCTATAACGTCAGCCATTTTTTTTAGATATTTGAAAACAAAACTTAATTTTCCGTTTTAAAAATCTTACAAAAATAAAATATATATTTCTGAAACGTTATTTGAAAGTTAATCTGATTTGAAACAAATATTACTTACTTATAGCATAAAATATTGTATACAAGCATTTCCTAAGTACGGGGTCTTGTTTTTCTGACGTGTTAATCGATTTATTGACGACGGATTAACCGCCTAACATGTTCATATTTAATTATGGTGTAACAGACAATACATTTGATTAGGCTTTTGTTTTTTTCCGGTAAGGTAGGATAACCCTTAAAACACGTGACTTTTTAAGAATAGATTTATCGGTTTGTACATCCATAAATCAGAAATTCTTCCTCTATATACATATATAAAACAAATCGAAATTCTTTTAAAAATAGCCGGAGATAAGCTTTAAGATATATGATTAGTAAATATGGTTTTACTTAATAAAAATATTCCCTAAGAATTATTTCATCTAAATCGAACTATAAAAGATACAATTTAAAATTGTAAAATCTGAAAACAAATTTTGTAAAAATTAATTTTTCATCGAAATTTTTTTCTTCTACAGACAATATTGTCTTTAATATACATTATTTATAAAAGCAATTAAAAGTTTCTGTAAGTAAATAATATCTTAGTTTTATTGCGTTTTTTATTTTTCGATTCAGAATAGATTTTCGGTAAGACAGGGTAAGATTTTGATTTTGCAAAAACAAAAAAGAAAAAAAATCGATTATTTAAATTCTTAAAAAAATTAACAATTCTGCTTTTAATTCTGCATATTTATTAATTAATTTATAATTTTACCTTATAATTTATTTTAAATGTGTGCGCAAAAGATTGCAATAATTACTGTTAATTGATGAATATCAATTAACTAAA